CTTCAAGCCACTACTGGGAAAGACCATGGAGGCATACGTCGACGACATGCTGATCAAAAGCCAGGTATCTCTGAACCACCCGGCTGATATGCGAGCCACGTTCGATATCATGGCAAGGTACAACCTCCGGCTGAATCCTAAGAAATGCGTCTTCGCGGTTCGTACCGGGAAGTTCTTGGGATTCATGGTGACCAAGAGAAGGATAGAGCCCAACCCAGAGAAAATCCGGGCTATCACTGAAATGCAAGACCCTACCTCCGTTAGGGATGTTCAAAAGTTGACCAGTCGTTTAGCGGCCCTCAGCCGGTTCCTTTCCCGGTCAGCTGAGAGATCTCTGCCCTTCTTCAAGGTTCTGAAGAAGGCCAACGCATTTGCATGGGACGAAGAATGCCGGAGAGCATTCGAGGAGCTGAAAGAGTACCTAGCGTCGGATATTGTGTTGTTTAAACCCGAACCGGGTGAAACTCTGTATCTGTACCTGGGAATTTCCCCAAATGCTGTAAGCTCCGTTTTAATAAGAGATGATGGGGCACAAAAGCCCATTTATTATGTGAGCAAGGCACTAAACGGGGCTGAGAGTAGATATACGGCGATGGAAAAGACAGTCTATGCGCTTTTCATCTCCGCAAAAAAGTTAACATCCTACTTCCAAGCTCACCCGGTAGAAGTCTTGACTGACCAACCGCTGGGTGCAGTGTTGCGAAATTCAACGTCCTCCGGGAGGATGGTGAAGTGGGCGATGATGTTAACTCAATTCCACATTGAGTACCGGCCGAGGTCGGCAATTAAGGGACAGGCCCTTGCCGATTTCCTAGTAGAAATGACCGGTCTAACTCCAGACTTACCGGTCAACAAGCCCACTGAGCAATGGTGGGAGATGGCAGTTGATGGGGCATCCGGTCCTAGAGGATACGGGAGTGGTATCGTGTTCACCACCCCAGAAGGATTCAAGATCTACCATGCAATCGTCTTCAACTTCAAGCTGACGAACAACGAGGCGGAATATGAAGCTCTGGCTGGAGGGCTCAGACTTGCCCAAGCCCTGAAAATCAGCCGGGTCAGTATCAAATCTGACTCTAGCCTGATAGTAGGGCAGGTGACCGGTAACATGGAAGC